TGTGGCAGGTGCCTGTGGTCCCAGCTACTTGGGAGACTGAGGCAGGAGACTCGCTTGAGCCCAGGAGTTGGAGGTTGCTGTAAACTGTGATACCACGGCACTCTACCCAGGGTGACAGCTTGAGGCTCTGTCTCAAAAAAAATTTGAAATTTTTTTAAGGGAGTAATAACAGTAATAATGGTATAAGAGTATAAGTAATAACACAGAATACCAATAAGTAATAAGACAGAATACCGTACATTTGATAAGAGCAGAAAAGGGTGCAAAGGAAAAATGTGGTTATGGGGTCAGAGAATACTGAAAAAGGTGGAAAACTTGAAGGATTGGTAGTATCTACAAGAGCAGGGAATAATCAGCATGAGCAAAATAGCAAGAGTAGGAAAGCACAGGTTGTGTTCAGGAAATATCACCTGGCCTGGTATAACTAGGGGAAAGTTTGATCAGAACTTCAGATCAGTCACGGGCTTGAGTGAAGGGTCGAGGAGACTGTGAGCCGCAGAAACATTTACGTTTTCATGGAGGGGAACAGTGAATTATGTTTTAGACTGAAGAGCAGTGGGTTGAGATACAAATTTTTGTCTGTTATACTCATTTTTCGTAAGTCAGTTTTGGTTCCTAAAACATTTTTGCTTGATGCCAAGGGTGAATTCCTTTTTTCTTTGGTAATACTTTTTATTCATCTTAGATGCCTTTGATGAGTATTGCTGTCATCTTATATAGGCTTAGTATATCAGCTGGCTGGTTCAAACTTTGTAAACATGAAAATCAACCTTCAGTTTGCCATAGTAATCACTGTTAATAGGGACCTGTTGCCGTGTGTCCTTGTGCCTCTGTCAGGTTGTCACGTCTGACTGTATTTTTCCTATTCACTAGGTTGGGCTGCTGTGGATCATTCCTTTTCTTCCGTAAGTCTGCTACATACATGAAAATACAGTAGTTGACCACCTCCCTACATTGACCATCTCCTAAAGTTGATGTAATGTTCATAGACTGGGCACGTACCACAGATCCTCAATGGAAGACCACCTCTGTAAGTTGTGTCTTGAATACTTGGACTGTGTAACATACAATATTAATTTACCCTCTATAACTTGACCAGTTCAGTTCACTCTATACCAAGAGGCAGAAACTGTGGACTTTGCTCCTTAGTTGTACTGTTTTTTTTCGTTTGGTATAAGTTCTTTTTTCATGTCGTATTATTACTATATGTTAAATCAGGCCTAAGGGCCTATTGTTTGTCATGTGTTGGGAAAGATTTTTCAATGTGAAGGCCTGGTACATCCTGCAATGACTGAAAAATTTTATAGTTAATTGAGACATAATGGCCCAAAGGAAAGAACTCAAAGAGCTGACATTGAAGGAAAAGGTTGATCTTTTACATTTTCTGGAAAGCAGCAGCCAGAGGAAGACAGCAGAACATTTTGGTGTTAGCAAGACCACAGTTAGCAACATCCAAAAACGTAAACATGAGTACTTAGAGAAATACAGTAAAGACAATGGAGACCCACAGCGGAAAAAGAGGAAAACTTCCCTGGATGAAGTCAATCAAGCCACATTAAGCTGGTTCAAACAAATGAGAGCAGTTAATGCCCGCATCTCTGGGCCGATGATTCGAGAAGTGGCAAAGAAATTTGCACAGGAATTCGGGGTGGCAGATTTCCAAGCATCAAGTGGTTGGCTTGAAAAATTTAAACTACGAAACAAGATCTCCCAGAAAGTCTTGTGTGGTGAATCCAATGACGTTTCAGCAGAAGTTGTGGAAGAGACTCCAAAGGAAGAGGATGTCAGGCATCTGATAATGCAGTTGAAGTCATTTGCTGCAGAAAAATGCCCAGGTATGCTGAGTGGTGTGGCCAGTGTTGAGAGTGCTTTCTGCACTTACGTTTGTAATAAGAGACAGGTCAAGATTGACTCTTTCTTCAGAAAGAATAATTAAACCATGAGAAAGCCGTAATTGTATTGATTTTATATGATACTGTCTCTGATTTTACTGTGTTTTGATTATATATGATTTCATATGATATTCTCTAATAAATGTTGTACTAGAAAGTAAAGTACACGTATGTATCAGTATAGTAGGCCTAGTTCCTTGTGTTGACCAGCTCTATATGTTGACCGGTTTGTTACAGTCCCTTGGGTGGTCAACTTATAGAGGTTCTACTGTAATTGTATGGGGGTCACGTATATTAACTTGTTTCTTATGGAGGAATAGTATAATCCTCAAAAGGTTATTTAATTGTGCACGGTGCTCCTGAATTAATGCTTGCTGTCTTCTCAGTGATTATGTTTCTCTTTGTACATTGGGGTACTCTTTCACCAATAAAACATATCTTAAGAGTTATTTTCTGAGTCTTAAAAAAGAAGTTATTGACATATTCCTAATTTACTGGCATACCCATAGCAAAGCAGGAGACACAGATTAGTTTCTAATGGTGGGACAAATCTCTGGTATAGTAGCTTTAGCAATCGTCATGTTTCATAGATTAAATTTTTATAAAATAAAAATATGTAAGAATTAATGTTTGTAAGTTCATTCCATAAATAAATTTCTTCCTATTTTTAAATATCTATACTTTGTCTGAGGTTTGGCTTTTTGTTTTCTTTTGTTTCATTTTTGTAGAGAGAGACACTATATTGCTGAGGCTGGTCTTGAACTCTTGGTTTCAAGCAGTCCTCCCACCTTGGCCTCCCAAAGTGTTCGGATTACTGGCCTGAGCCATGGTACCTAGCCCATCTTCAGAGTTTAAGAATAGAAAAGAGGGCGCCTGTGGTTCAAGTGGCTAAGGCGCCAGCCACATACACCTAAGGTGGTGGGTTCAAATCCAGCCCGGGCCCGCCAAACAACAATGATGGATGCAACCAAAAAAAGAAAAGAAATGCTTCTAGTACTCTTCAAATAAGGACTTTTTCATCTGGACTTCATTCTTTTGAACCACCTATCTCTATGAGACTCCTGACAGAATGTGAGGGCATGCCAATGTGATAAAACTGGTTTCTCATTCTCTAATTCAGATGTTTTAAACAAGATTCAGACTCGCACACAGTTCCCCTAGGGTCACCACAACATGGAGACCTGTATTAAAGGGTCACAGCAT